CTGTCTGGTGTATTTATTTAGATTATAGACTTTCTACTAAACTTCCATTAATAACAACACTGAGGTAAATGATGGCCGTTGCTGGGGAACTGGATGTCTAACATCTAGCTCCATTGCAAAAATAAATGTTACAGCACAAGATCATTCAGCCCATTGTGCTTGTGGACACTTTTCTAAGAGTTTTCCACTTTGTACCACTCCTCATTACTGCCCTTTCTCCGAAACTGTTTTATTTCTAGTTTTCAGTATTTATACAGTTTCCTTTCCAAAGTTAGTATTGAATTGGCTTCCATCACATTGACACAATGGGTTCTCTTTTTTTTATTCATGTTTGGCCAGCATTTATTGCCCGGCCTCAATTGCCCTTGAGGAAAGTGCTGGTGAGCTGCCTCCTTGAAACATTGAAGTTCGTGTACTGTAGGTTGACCCTCAGATGCCGTTAGGGAGGGAATTCCAGGATTTTGACCCAGTGACAGTGAAGGAGCACCAATATATTTCCAAGTCAGGATGGTGAGTGGCTTGGAGGGGAACTCGAAGGTAGTGGTGTTCCCATGTATCTGCTACCCTTGTCCTTCTAGATGGAAGTGGTTGTGGGTTTGGAAGGTGCTGTGTAAGGATCTTTGGTGAATTTGTGCAGTGCATCTTGTAGATAGTACACACTGCTGTTGCTGAGCGTCAGTGGTGGAGGGAATGGATCTTATGGATGTAGTGCCGATCAAGTGGGCTGCTTTGTCCTGGATGGTGTCAAGTTTCCTGAGTGTTGTCAGAGCTGCATCCATCCAGGGAAATGGGGAGTGTTCCATCTTACTCTGATTTTTGTCTGATCGTGACTGTTGAATGTCTGGAGATCCAGTTCATGATGGCTACCATAGTTGAATAGGGATAAAACCAATCTGTTCAGAATTATGAGGACGTACGTACTGATGGGTTGTCCCTTCAGCTCCGTGTATCCAGTTGCTCATAGGCATAGTCACCAGAGATAGACTCACTATGGTAATGAATACGGAGAGGAGACTGAGGGAGGACAGAGAGAGATTGAGAGAAGGAGACAATGAAGGGAAGAGGACAGGAAGAATGATTGAGAGAGAGAACGAGGAGAGGAGTTTCAGTGTAATATAGAGTGATTAAGGGAGGAGAGAATAAGGAAGGGAGGTTCAGAGTCAGAAAGAGAGAGATTAAGGGAGGGAGAAAGATTAAGGGGAAGGGAGAGAGGGAGAAAGTGAGAGAGAAAGAGACAGGGAGGAGCAGAGAATGTTTGGTGAAAAAAAAAGAGTTGGAGAGAAAGGCTGAGAAAGGGATGGAAAGAATGAAAGCAGGATGGAAAGAGATTTTGAGAGGAGGAGATAGAGAAAATGCGACGAGTGATCAGAGGGGAGAAACAATGATCAAAGGACAGAGAGAATGAGAGGGAGTTAGAGGAGAGAGATTGAGTGAGGTAGAGAAATGATGAAAGGGAGATATTGAGGGGAGAGAGAGTTTGAGAGGCAGGAAAACAATGAATGTATTCTGTCTGATTTTTGAAACTCACTGATGGAAAGTGACTGTTTCTTGGTGTTGGATTATGAAATCTCTTGACATTCTGTGCCCTTTTCACTGTTTTTCAGTTCTGACAGATAGGCCGCCCCCCATCATCCGCCAGGGTCCAGCCAATCAGACTCTGGGTGTGGACGGGACCACCCTGCTAAAGTGTCAGGCCACTGGAGACCCCATTCCCACAATCAGCTGGCTGAAGGACGGTGTCAGTCTCCTGGGTAAAGACCCTCGCATGTCCCTCCAGGAACTGGGAAGTCTGCAAATCAAGAACGTACGGGTAGGTAGTCACAGTCAATCACACGGCCTGATTCTGTTCATCTGCTCTCTCTCTCTCTTTCTACCCCTCTCTGTCTCTCTCTCTCTCTATCTATCTATCTCTCTCTATCTATCTGTCTGTCCCCCTCTGTCTCTGTCTTTCCTCTGCCTGTCACAGAACATAGGACATAGAACAGTACAGCAAAGTACAGGCCCTTCGGCCCACGATGTTGTGCTGACCTATTGTCCTACTAGGATCAAACTACCCTGCATATCCTACATTTTACTGTCCTCCATGTGCCTATCCAAGAGTCGCTTAAAAGTCTCTAAAGTATCTGACTCCACTACCACTGTCAGCATTCCACACACCCACCACTCTCTGTGTGAAGAACCTACCTCTGACATTTCCCCTATACCTTCTTCCAATCATCTTAAAATGATGTCTCAGGTCTGATAGTCATGGAGTGATAATATTCCTGGCAGTGTAATCCAGATGCCCATCTTGGAGCAAGAGCACAGTTCTGCTACGGCAGCTGCGGAGAATTTAAGTTCAATTCAAAATTCTAAAATTGTATTTCTCAATAATGGCGACTGCAAATCTTTATTTTGTTGTGGTTTTGTTTTTTTTTCCAGGTTGTTTGGTTCACTTATGCCCATTTGGGAAAGAGTCTGCTCTCCTTACGTGGTCTGGTTTACATGTGACTCCAGACCTATAGTCAATGTGGTTGACTCTTAACTGCCCTCTGTATTGGATTGGCACAAAACTCTATTGTAACCATGGAAACCAAGGTGGGGCAATCAGTCTTCCAAGAAATGCTCACATTTCAAGAGTGGATTGAAGTCAATTGCCTTTAGGACACCTTCTCGTTAATACCACATTCCAAATCACACATTAGATACAGAGTAAATCTCCCTCCACACTATCCCCCCATCAAACACTCCCAGGACAGGGATAGCATGGGGTTACATACAGAGTAAATCTCCCTCCACACTGTCCCCCCATCAAAAATTCCCAGGACACATGCAGCATGGAGTTAGATGCAGAGTAACGTATGCTCATTTGAATTTTCTACTGATCCTTGAGTTAGTCTCCCGATTTGCTCAGTGCTCCCCGCTATCTTTACCTTGGCTGTGTCTTGGCTGAGAAGGTTCTGTTCGTGGTGGGTCATTCCTGCTCAGGGTTGAATCTGGAACGTTGACTGTTGACAAACCTGGCTTCTTTCAAATGTTACTTCAATGTTTATTGAAGCTTGTTAAGTGTTGGTTGGCCTGTTTGCTTATTTTTATTTGCTTAACTTCGAAAACCTGTTCCTTTCCAAATTGTTACTGTAATTTGTGCTAATTTGTGACCTCCCTCTCATCAATTCACAACAGTTTTTCAGGCCGACAGTGGACCAGCAGGATTGAAGAAGGGAAAAGGATGTGGTCCCCTGGAGAAGGGGCAAGGAAGATTTACCAGGTTGACATGAGAACTGAGAGCTTTTTCTTTTCAGTGAAGGCTGACCAGGACAGTATCTTTACCTGAACAAAGAGATGGCTGAAAGGTGACCTGTCAGAGGTCCTTAAAGTTATAAATGGAGTAGTCATAGAAAAGATGTTTCCACATTTGGGTGTGAGGTCCAAAACTAGGCACCACAGATGTAAGTTTGTCATTAATAAATCCGGTTTGGAATTCAGTAGAGTGGTGAAAGTGTGAAACTCGAATCGACAGGGAGCAGGAGGTGATTATATTCAATGTGTAAATACATGGGCATGTCCACAAGAGTCAGAGCATCAGAAGGATATACTGATTGGGTGAGATGAAACAGTAAAGATGAAGTCACCATGGGGGTGCTGTCTCATTAGAGAGAGATGACTGGTGGTGGTTTAACCTGAGGGTCACCACACCTCAGCTGAGGGGAAAGGTTGCGAAGAAAAATTCTTCATAATAACCTCAGCTGGTGCGGGAATCGAACCTACACTGTTCATAATGCACTGCATTGCAAAGCAGCCATTCAGTGAACTGAGCTGGGGATGAGGTTTAAGTGGGACCTAAATGCTAGAATAGACAATGCTTCTGTGCCATATAATTCTATCCAATTCTGCATGAGCTCCATTTATGCTTTGGAATGTTCTCTTTGAAAGTAAGCTCTCAAATCGTAGCACAGTTTCTGCCCCGCGTCCCTACAGAAAGCTCACCATTGAGGTTCATATGGTCACATTGGAGGAGGCATCTCATTTCACCAGTGTTTCACCAGTGCACCACTGTTTCACCAGTGTGCTATCAATTCCAGGGTTGGACATATTGGAGATCCAGTCATGTGATCTGCCCTTTCATGTGCCCCACACGCCTAACATTCCCACGAACAGAAATAATTCCTGAAAACCTCAGGAGCCAGGTTTCATTTATTGCATTTCATGGCTACCCTGAAGAAGGTGTTGCCTTCTTGAACCACACACTGTCCCCCGAACTGCAAGTGTCACTGAAAGCCAGTGGAGAGGTACAACTACAAAATAAGCAGAAAATAATCAAGACTGGCATTGGAAATGTGGCCTTTATATCTGGAGAACTGGAGTACAAGGATGCAGATGTTACACTGCATTTATACAAAAACTTTGGTTCGACCCCACTTGGAGTACTGTGAACAGACCTGGGCACCATACCTTAGGAAGGATAGATAGGTCTTGGAGGGAGTACAATGTAGGTTTCCAGGAAGGATATCTGGACTTAGGGGGTTAAATTATAAGAAGAGATTACCAAAATTAAGCCTGTTTTCTGTAGTGTTTAGAAGTTTAAGGAGCGATCTGATCAAAGTCTTTAAGATATTAACAGGAAAAGACAGGGTAGGTAAGCCAAATGATTTCCAGTGAAAATTAGGGCCAGACCATTCAGGAGAGACGTTAAGAAGCATTTCTGCACACAAAGGATGTTAGATGTTTGCAACTCTGTCTTTTAATTTACTCGTGGGGTGTTGGCAGTGCTCGCTGCCCATCTCTTGTTGCTCTTGATAACTTATTGTCGTTGCTGTATTGCCCTTCCTCAAACAGCGGTGGATGTAGGATCAGTTCTTAGATGCAAATCTAGTTTTAAATGGATACATTTTTGATAAGCAAAAGGTATTAAGGATTATGGGCCAAAGGCAGCAATGTGAAGTTAGGCCACAAATCATTCATGACCTTATTGAATGGTGGAGCAGGTTTGAGGGGCTGAATGGCCTACTCCTGATCGTATGTTCCGATGTAAAAGGGAGTATGACTTCAAAAGGATGAAAATCATGAGGTAGACCACGTCTGAGAACTGTGCTCAGGTGAATAAGAGAGAAGGTGGTACTGTGATATCAATCCCAGCACTAGGCCTAATACCCTGGGTGCATGGGTTTGAATCCCAAAATGGCAGCAGGTAAAAATTTGAATTCAGTGAGTAAAATCTTGAGATAGTGTAGCTAGTTTTGGTCCTGGTGACCATGGCAACTATTGTATTGCTAACCGCAATATACCCCTCACTGAAATGCAGAAATCTCTCACGCACTTCCCACCTGCCATTGGTGTGCATTAGGAGGATTTACAGGCTAATCCTATTTGGACACATTATGAACACATTGTATACGGCCGTTGAGTTCGGGAGTGAATCCAATTCCAGCAATGGCATGATTGATGTGTAAAAAAGATTTGATCAGTTACAATGGTGTTCACTGGAGTTTAGAAGAATGAGGGTGATCTTGTAGAAACCTGTAGCGTTTTAACAGGACTTGTCAGAGTAAGCATAGGAACAATGTTTCTGATGACCAGGGAGTCCAGACCAGGGGTCACAATCTAAGGATATGGGGCAGGCCATTTAGGATTGGGATGAGGAGAAATGTCTTCACCCAGAGAGTGGTGAGCCTGTAGAATTCACTATTGCAAGAAATGGTTGAGGCCAAAATGTTGAATGTTTTCAGGAAGGATTGAGATACAGTTCTTAGGGCTAATGGAATCAGATGATATGGGGAGAAACAGGGAACTGAGTTGGATGATCAGCCATGATCAGATTGAATGGAGGAGCAGGCTCAAAGGGCCGAATGGCCTACTCCCGCTGCTATGTTTCTATGTTTTGATGAGTGGGCCTGAACACAGAGCCTACGACTCAGAGGGGGAGAAGGTGCCCACTTCGCTAGAAGCTGCCCCATGAGTTGGAATTTCCGGTCAGTACATACCTTGCCTATTCTGCAGCATTGTTTGCTTCAGAGTAATGTCAATTTCTTTGACCTACTTTATGAGTTTGATCTCTGAAAGCTGAGCTGAAGAACAGCTCTTGATCCCTTGTGTTTGCACTCAGTAAATCATCAGTTATTGAGACACGAAGGGAATAAAAGGAAGACCTATCAAATCAACGGCTGAAGTAAAAGACGACGAAGAAGTGATTGAGAAAGATCCGGTGGAAGACAAAACATGAGAAAGAAAGTCTGTCCTCAGGTCCTGGAATGTTGCCCGACATAAATTAATTATAAATCGCCTTAGGACAAAACAGAATTTATTGAAAAATTAATGTCAGCATTGCTTTAGGTAAACAATTTAGTCTTTCTTGTCATGTCGCAAGGCATGCACAGGTCAGAGGGGTTAATGCATTTCTGCTGTTGGAGCTGGATTAAATTCATCGCTTTATCGTCTTGCTTTACCCAGGTCAGCCCCCGAGAGCAACAATTAAACGCAACAAAACTCAAACAAAACTTTCATTGGAGTGCTGCATTGGCTGTGCGGTGGGAGATGGAATTCCAAGGCAGATGCTTGCACTCCCTATTAGCAAAGTAGAGCAAAAACTGCATAGGGGAAGGCAGTTTAGTCCATCACACATATGCCAGCTCTTTGCAAGACAGATCCAGTTAGACAGCCACTTTCAATCAGACGACCACTTCCATCTAGAAGGACAAGGGCAGCAGATACATGGGAACACCAGCCCCTGCAAATTCTCCTCCATGCCACTCACCGTCCTGACTTGGAAATATATTGTTGTTCCTTCATTGTCGCTGGGTCAAAATCCTGGAATTCCCTCCCCAAGGGCATTGTGGGTCAACCTATTGCAGGTGGACTGCAGCGGTTCAAGAAGGCAGCTCACCACCACCTTCTCCAGGGGCAACTAGGGATGGGCAATAAATGCTGATACAACCAGCAAAAGCCATATCCTGTGTTTGTATAATAAAATTAATATGTATTTCACAGGTTTTACTTGATTGTCCTTCTTTTGATTAGTTTGTGTTTGGGTCCATGGATATCTTAACAATATATATGCGTGGATCCTCTTAAATTTCTTGAAACTGCCACATTTCTAGCTTCTTCCTCTTTTAAGAAATTACACTCTTGCTGAGGACTAATGAACAATGAAGTCTGACTCACCTTTTCATCTTAATCCTAGGTTACAGACTCTGGAATCTACACCTGTGTTGCCACCAGCTCAAGTGGAGAAACCTCTTGGAGTGCATTTTTGGAAGTGCGAGGTATTGCTTCATTCTTGATGTTTATTGCAATAAACGGAAGGTAGTTCTCAACCCCTTTCTTTTCACCCTTATCTTTAATCGAGACAAGAAGGCTCACTGGGTCAGTTACCCAGGCAGAAAGGAGGTGAGATAAATCAGGCTATGAGACTACCCTTTGGTTTGAAAGGCTGGGGGTTGTAATTGGGAAGGAAGAATGAAAGCAGCAAAATCAGATAAGAAGCTTCCGGTAAAATGGGGTCACGGACTAGGTGGACAAGTTACATGTCAGCGGGTGATTGGGTGAATTGTCATGTGAGCACATGGGCAGTGGGTATCTGAAGGGTCAGAGGCTTGGTATAAGCTGCTATGGCTCAGTTGGTAGCAATCTCCCCTCTGACTCCAAATTCTCCATGTTTGACCTAAGCACCCACATGGGGAGGTGAAGGTGTGGTGGTCATGTCACTGGACCAGCAGTGCCAAGCTCCCGGAAAATGCCCTGGGAACATGGTTTGAATCCCACCAGGGCAGGTGGTGAGGTTTGAATCCAATCTGGAATTAAGAGTTGGTCTCATGGTGACCGTGTAGCCATTATTGTTCATAATGTCCATCAGGGAAGAAACTGCTGACCTATATGTGACTCCAGACCCACAGCAATGGGGTTGAGTCTTATCTTTTCTCTACCATGCATTCAGGGATAGGCAATAAATGCTGGCCCTATCAGTGACACGCACATCTCATGATCACACAAAAAAGAAACTCCCACTGAGGGAGTGCCACGCTGCTGGAGGTGTTGTCCATCTGGTGAGACATTGAACTGAGCCCATTTCTGCCCTCGCAGGTGGATTTAGATTTCCTGACATTTATTTGAAACAGAGCATTACAGACTCGATGGACCAAAGGGCCATCTTCTGTACTGTCTGATACAATGAGCTGAATTCTCTGTCATATTGCGACTCATGTTTATCCTTACATTAACATGAAAAGACCCAGATTATCTGGTGTTTATTTCATTGCCCTCTGTGAGAGCTTGCTGTGTGCAAATTGGCTGCGGTGTTTCATCTATTTAGAGCAGTAACCACATCTCAAAACTGTCAAACACTTTGAGACATCTAGTGGGTCTGCTGTATTTTCTTTAGCTGGATGTCAATGGATGGTCAAGGGTTTGAGTTGAGAGTTCAGGGGATCAGTGCAGGAGTTGGGTATAATGGGTTGGACGGTCAGCCCTAAATCTTTGGAGCATTGTGTCTCATTGGAGGTGATTTGGAGTGGGATGGGGGAATCAGAATCTGAGCTGCCCCCTGAACAGGTTGTGTTTTATTTTGTGCAGAGTCAGGTGCAGTGACCGTCAATGTAAAGATGGATATGGATGCCCTCCCTGGGTCACCTTCCAAACCTCAAGTTGCTGATGTCACAAAGAGCACAGTCACCCTCTCATGGCTGGCAGGAAGCCATAGTGGGTCATCACCGGTTACATCCTACGTCATCGAGGCCTTCAGGTACGTGAGAGCGAGAAACCATCTCTTCATCAACTGTAGTCATTAAATGTAGAACTGGAAAAGCACAGCAGGTCAGACAGTATCTGAGGAGCAAGACAGTCAACGTTTCGGCCCGAAACATTGACCTACCTGCTCCTCAGATGCTGTCTGACCTGCTTTGCTTTTCCAGTTCCACGTCTATTGACTCTAGCCTCCAGCATCTGCAGTCCTTACTCTCCTCATCAACTGTACACTTTTCACAACTGGGCCTCGGAAAGTGGAAGGTGAATGCGTGTCAGCAGGTTAAGGAAGATTTGGACAAGCTTTGTAAATCAGTAAGAACATGGCTAATGGCGTATAATGTGGGAAAAAGGTGAGGCTATTCACTTTGATAGGAGAAACAGATGTGGAGAGTATTTCGCAAATGGTAAGAGGTTGCAAAACGTCAATGTACAAAGGGACCTAGGAGTCCTTGTCCATAGTCACTGCAGGCTAACATGCAACTCCAGCAATCTGTGGGAAAGGCTGGTAGAATATGAACTATTATTGCAAAAGTATTTGATAACAGAAGTAGTGAAGTCTTGCTTTATTTGCACAGGAGCTTGCTTCAACCACGCCTGGAGTACGGTGCGCAGTTTAGGTCTCCTTGCCTCGGCAAAGGTATTATTGCCTTGGATGGAGTGAAACAATGGTATACAGGACTTGTTTCCAGGATAGGGGGGACCTATCTGATGAAGAGAGATTAGACAAACTGTCCCTGCATTCTCTAGAGTTTAAAAAAAATGGGAGGTGATCTCACCGACACCTACAAAATTCTTAAAGAAATAGACGATGTCAGTGCAGATATTTCCCTGGTTGGGGAGTCCAAAATTAGGGGGCACAGTTTAAAAATAAGGGGTATGCCACTAAGGTTTGAAATCAGAAACATACAAGCTATTTTGAGGGCTTGAGGCAAATGTTGCAGCGTTCTTTCCCCTTGTAGGAGAATCTAGGACCAGAGGGCATAATCTCGGAATAAGGCATCACACATTTAAGACAGCGATGTGGAGGAATTTCTTCTGTCAGAGGCGAGTGAATTTGTGGAATTCTTTCCCACAGAGGGCTGTTGAGGCTTGGTCATTAAGTATATTTATGGATGAGATAGGCAGATTTTTAATCAGTAAGGGAATTGAGGGATATGGGGAAAAGACAGGAAGTAGGAGTCAAGGATGATCAGATTATTCATGATTCTGTTAAATGCTGGAACAGACTTGATGGGCTGAATGGCCTGCTTCCATTCTTATGGCCTTATGAGGAGAAATGATTTTGTTTAGAGTATGGTGAGCCTTTGGAATTGTCTACTACAGAAGTACTGTAGAACTTTAGTCTGTTTAAATTAGAGATTACTAGATTTCTGAATACCAGTGGGGGACAGGGTGTTGGTTATATTGTAGTTAAGAGACAAGTGTCGCCACTGTTGTATTGAATAGCAGGGCAGCCTTAATGGGCTGAATGGCCTACTCTTGTTCCTTTGCTCCCATGAGCCACAAGTCCAAAGTTTTGGCTGCAGCTCAGTTGGTAGAATTCTCAGCTGAGTCAGAAGGTTGCACATTCAGATGTCACTCAAACACAACAATTTAATTTTGACACGGTCTGCCACAGTACTGTGGGAGTATCATGTTGTTCGAAGTTCTCTTCCAGAAGGAACATTGAACTTCCATTAAACGTTTCCCAATTGGTGTGACAGATCCTGACAGTATTTCTCTGATACAGTCCTCCTTGAGTCTACCCCGTTTTATATTTCTCAGGCAACATCAATAAGAAGCAAATTTTCTCTTATACTTGGTGGGAGCTTGCTGTGCACAAACTGGTCACCATGTTCCCCAAGTTACAACGGCAACACTTCAGAAAAGTACGTTCATTGGCTGTAAAACACTTTGAGACATCCTGAGGTTGTAAAAGTTGCTATAGAAATGAAACTGATTTCACTAATGTCAGGCAATAGCCAGGATATTTCCATCACAGACGGAGCTCATTCAGCCCTCTGTGAGTGTACAGGCTCAAAATGAGCAATTGGTCTTTGTTGGTCACATTACGAAAACCGATTCAGTCTGGTGACTGGGTCAGCGAGCATGGTCAGAGAATGAACACACAAGTGGAATACAAAAAACTTTGGAAATCTGAAATACAAAAAAGGGAAGTATTGGAAATGCTCAGCATGTCAGGTAGCATCCACGTAGAGAGAAACAGAGTCAACAACGCAAAGTGATGGCCTTTCATCAGACACAGATTTAAGATGTTGATGAATGGAAGGGGCAATTAGAAGATTTTCTCCCACCCAGAGAATTGTTAAAATATGGAGCCTTCCACCTGAAACCATGGCTGATCTGGTCCCTGAGAAACATTCAGGGTTACAGATTATACACAAGGTCTGTGGGGCAAACATAAATTCTCTTTTAAACAGACAGTCCAGGCAAGATGACCTGAATGGTTTTCTCCACGACAGGTTTGCCTAATTGCATTAAGTCTGTCACCTATTGTGCTTCAGTGAAGATAATCTCTCCTCCTCAATTTTGTAAATTCCAAAGCAGACTAATTGCGTTTTGAATTTTGATGATCTATGTTCTGCTAAGTAGTTCCCAAAAAAGACCACCAAGCCACTCACCATCCTGACTTGGAATAATATTACCGTTCCATTACTACAGCTGCGTCAAAATCCTGAAATTCCCTCCCTAACGGCATTATGGGTCTGCCTGCAGCAGGTGGATTGCAGCGGTTCAGGAAGGCAGCTCATCACCACCTTCTCAAGAGCAACTAGGGACGGGCAATAAATGCTGGGCTCAGCCAGCAATGTCCATGTTCCATGGATGAACAAAAAAAATCTTGGCTGAAATCACGACGCCAAGATTTCAATAGACCATGGGTTTAAGTAGATGACAAAGGAACCAGAAGAGACCATTCAGCCCCTCAATCTTGTACTGCCATTCCGATATCTCAACTCCATATATCTGCACTGGTTCTGCGCCCACCCCCAAATACTCCAAGGTATCAAACGTTAGTCAATCTTAGTCTTGTAATTTTCAGTTGACCCCAGGCTCACTGCATTTTTTATGGGAGCTCAGGACTTCCACCACTTTTTGGATGAAGAAGGCCTTGCTGCCGAACCAGAACAATTTTCATAGTTACACAAGACCTTTAGCATATGTTATCAATGTTAGGGTAGGAGCATGCAATGTAGGAGGGATAGAGAGATGTGGGAAGAGAGCGCAAAACTGTGTGGGTTTGTGAGTTGTGAAGAGGATGCAAGGAGACTATGGGGTGATTAATGGAGAAGCGTGGCAGACGTAGCACGATGTGTCTAAACCTGAAGTTACACACTTCAGTGCGAAAAATAGAAAGGAAGAGTTTTATTTACATTTTGCTCTTGTGGGAAGTGTTGATGTGTAAGGGGATCTGGATGTCCTAATACATCAGTCAATGAAAGTAAACAGGGAGGTGCAGCAAGTGATTGGGAAGGCAAATAGTATATTGGGGGCCTTTATTACAGGAGGATTTGAGTTCAGGAGTAGGGCTGACTGGGCCTTGCTGAGACCACACCTGGAGGATTGCATACAGTTTTTCTCTCCGTACCTTAGAGAGGATATACTTGGTGCAGAGGGAGCACAGCAAGGGTTCATTAGGCTGATAGAGGGATTAGCAGGACTATTCTGTGAGGAGAGATTGGTTCGATTGTGTATTCTCTAGAGTTTGGAAGGGTGAGAGGGAGAACTGATTGAAATGCATAATATTTGAACCGGGTGAGACAGACTCGGTGCAGGGAGGATGTTTTCCCCCGGCTGGGGAGTCTAGAACAGGGGCACACAATCTCAGAATACAGGGTAGGCCATTTGGGACAGAGATGAGGAGAAATGTCTTCACTACAAGGGTCATGAACCTGTGTAATTTTCTACCACAGATGGCTGTACAGGCCAAGTCTCTGAATAGACTCAAGAAAGAGACAGATACATTTTTAGATTGAGGTTGTTGACTTACTCACCAAGCTGTGTTGTTTTCGTTCAGATGTTTCGTCACCATGCTAGTTAACATCATCAGTGAGGCCTCCAACGAAGCGATGTTATTCTACTCCACTTGGAATTTATACTGTTCGGTCCATTCTGTATAGAATTGGACCTCATATACAAACCCAGACAGATCAAAACCGGAAATGACAGTACTCATCATAACGAACCGGACAGTATAAACTCCAAGTGGAGTAGAATAACATCGCTTCATCGGAGGCCTCACTGATGATGTTACTTAGCATGGTGACGAAACATCTGTATGAAAACAAGCCAGCAAGTCAACAACCTCATCCACAACCCGAGCTACAAATCTTTGCTAAAACTTTAAACATTTTTAGATTTGAAAGGCATGAAGAGATAATGGGGAGAAAGAGATTGAAGCATCGAAATAGAGGATCAGTCATGATCCTATTGGAAATTTGTTTCAAAAGGGCTGAATGGTTTGCTCTTGCTCCTAGTTTCTTTGTTTCTGTCTTTTATTTCAAGTATGGGACTCTGCCAGGCTCGCCTTCTGGTTCCAGAGCCTTGAAAATCAAAAAGAACAAAATTGGCAGCATGCAGAAATGTCAAGGGGGTTCAGTCAGTTTGCAGGAAACTGCAGAGATAAGATTTGTAAGTGAGGACGAGAATTTGATATTGTGGAGGCTGATAGCCCAGGCACATCCTCATATTCAGAGGTCTTGGCACTGCCACTTGGGTACACTTCAGTGAGCTCCGAATATTCAGGCAGGCCAGCTGGACATCGACAAGACCCTTATTGAGATCACATCTGAAGTTTTGAAAAGGCACGGCTGCTGTGGTGCTCAAGTAGTAACTTACCTCCTGGATCCACTGCGTTCTCACCCCTCATGCCAAAGACCCAGTTGCCAGGCGACAAGGGGTTCTCGGGTAAATTTCATTTTGTATTCAAGAATTAGCGCCTGAGAGCTCATTATGTACAAGCTAATTGTATTAGCAGATTAAGCACGAGGTAATTGTTTTACCAGATTAAACCATGTGTTTGCTTTCTGTTCTTGCTCTCTGTCTTCATCAAATGACAGACCTCAGTGGTGTTAAGACTTGTTCTCCTTAGAGCAGAGGAGGTTAACGGGAATATTTAATAAAGGTTTTCAGAGAAGCGAGGAATTGTGTTGAAGTAGACAAAGGGAATGTATACCAATGAAATAAGGGCCAGTAGCAAGGGATCACAGAATTTGACAAAAGAACAGATTCTAACATTGTCCCAGGAGGCCATTCAGCCCCTTGCGCCTAATTGGAGCATGTCTTATCTCTATTTTAACTCAATTTACTTACTTTGCTTCCATAACCCTAGATATCTTTTTGCTTAACAAAAAGAAATCAATCTCAGTCTTGAAGTTTTCAACTGACCACAGACACAACACCTTTTTCTTTCAGGGGACAGAGCTCCAAAATTCCGCAAATAGGAACAGAAAGTGCTGGAGAAACTCAGCACATCTGTGGAGAGAAAAAGAGAGTTCATGTTTCAAGTCCAACATGACTACTTTTCGGGTTCTGAAGAAGTTACTGGACTTGAAACGTTAACTCTGTTTCTGTTTCCACAGATGCTGCCAGACCTGCTGAGTTTCTCCAGCAATTTCTGTTTTCATTTCAGATTTCCAGCATCAACTGTACTTGGCTTTCACTTGAGACCAAAATTCCACAACCCCTTTTGTGAAGAGATGTTGCTTTGTAAAACCCTTGAATGCCTCTGATTTTAACGTTTATGCCCCCTTCTTTCTGATCTGCCCAATTTGAACTCCTCATTCTATTTTAACTACCTCAGTTAGATCACTCAGATCACATCTGGAGTACTACGTACAGTACAGGTCATCGTACTTACAGAAGGATGTTTGTGCGTTGGAAGCAGTTCAGGGGTTTCCTTGACTAACACCTGGAATAAGCAGATTGTGTTATGAGGAAAGGCTAGACAGGCTGGGCCAATATCCTTGAGAGTCTAAGAGTCAGCAGTGACTTAATTGAAATGTCTTAGATCCTGCAGAATTTTAAGTATTTTTAAGGCAAAGATAGATAGATTCTTGATTCCCAAGGTTAAGATTATCGCAGAATATGCAGGAATGTAGATCATAGATCATAGAATCCCTACAGCGTGGAAACAGGCCCTTCGGCTCAGCAAGTCCACACTGACCCTTGGAGCATCCCACCCAGACCTATCCCCCTATAACCCACCTAAGCTACACATCCCTGAACACTGCAGGCAATTTAGCATGGCCAATCCGCCTAACCTGCACATCTTTGGACTGAGGGAGGAAACCGGAGCACCCAGAGGAAACCCACACAGACACAGGGAGAATGTGCAAACTCCACACAGACAGTTGCCCGAGGGTGGAACTGAACCCGGGTCCCTGGCGCTGTGAGGCGGCAGTGCTAACCACTGAGCCACCGTGCTGCCCTCGTAGAGTTGAGATTAAATCAGATCAGCCATGATCTTATTGAATGATGGAGCAGGCTCAAAGGGCCGAGTGACCTATTCTTGTTCTATGTTTGTAGGTTGCCGATGTTTGGATGAAGGAAGGTGGGGACACTGGAAAGGAATGGTGGTGGTGGATGGGGGTGTGGGAAGGAGGGGGAAGCGAGGATCTGGGAGAAAGATCTCCAAAACCAAACAGTGAAGTAACGAGTATGACCTCCATTTGTTCCCTCAGCCAATCCGTAAGTAACAGCTGGCAAACTGTGGCGGAGAATGTGAAGGACACTTTGCACACTGTTAGAGGTTTGAGGCCGAACACTATCTACCTCTTCATGGTGCGTGCTGTCAACAGTCAGGGCGTCAGTGACCCGAGTCAAATGAGTGAGCCAGTTCGCACTCAAGGTAAGAGATCTCCAGCTTCGAGTGGAGCCAATGGACCTTCGTATTTAATTATACAGTCCTCTTGGAGAATCCATCTTGCATTTCTTACTCATGTTGGGTTAGAGCTCACCATTAGTGTGCGGAAATTGGTGTGTTATGATTTGACATCCCTGGGTTAGGTAAAACACAAGTTGGGTAAATTTCTTTTGCTTCATTGCTGAATGTTTCCCGCTTTTTGGAGAGGGCATGTATAAAGGATAGAGTAGACTGTAGGGCCAATAATCAAAATGAATAATTAAGTGGATTATTGGAATGCAAACCACTATTTCAAGATGACTTGGAGTTGTATCAAAGAGGGGTGTTTGTTATGTTACAGCGGTAGAGCTCTGAGGAAATCCCAGCTGCATTCAGGGTATGTTCAGTCATAAAGCCCACACCTCAGGAGGGAGTCGGCACAGCCCAGATTCACCAGAATGGTTTCAGGGTTAATTATGAAGACAGGTCATGCAGACTTTTCTTTCAGTGGGCACTTGTGGGGCCATGGTAATGTCCACACCTGTGGGCCAGAAGGCCTGGGTTCAAATCCCATCTGCTCCAGCAGTATGTCAAAACATCTCTGAACAGTTTGATTAGAAAATATATTTATTCTATTGAGCATAGAAAATTAAAGGGTGACACTATTGGGATATTTAAGATGATTTAAAAAATTGATAGACCAGATCTGTCTCCTCTTGTTGAGGAGAACTGGGGCTGATGGCAGAAAACACTTCTGCAAACAAGGGATAACATTAGTGTCAAACTCCTTCAAAGATCTGTCAAAACTGTACATGAATTGGAAGTTTGATGACGGTGATTGCTATACTTTTGTTTGGCGAGTGTATCGAGGATACTTAGAACCGCCATGGGGAGATAGAGTTAAGAAATGGGTTATTGATAATCCAGTTGAATGGTAGAATAGATGTGAAGGGCTGAAAGGCCTCCACCTGTTCCAATATTGGACTTCATGGATGAATGGCAAGCTGAGAACGAGACTGGGAGCTAAGAAATTACCCGAATTCTCAACCTCTTCTAAAGTTGCCCAAGGCAAGAAAAGAAACTGAAAGTTATCATTGACAGTGCTGGTTTGGGAAGTGCTTCAATTGAAGGTTGAAATGGGACAAAAAGAAGATGGATAGATGAATTCAGGAGAAATTGTTACCACTGACCAGAGCGTCAGCAATTAGGTACAGAGCTTCAAGTTAATTGTGAAAAAAACCCAAGGAGGGTTGAGGAAGTTTTATTTCTATATTGTGCATTGCTAAGATTTGGGCTACACTGTCTGAAAGGGCAGTGGAAGTAGATTCAAAAGGAATGATCAAAAGAGAACTGGATTAATACTTGAAACGACAAAATAACTTATATATTTCCATTGACATAGTGAAACATCCCAAGGCACTTCACTGGAAATTATGACCCTGAGCTACGTTAAGCAATATTAGGGCAGGTGAAAATAAACTTGGTCAAAGAGAGTGATTTTAGGGGCCGTCTTAAAGGAAGGGAGATGGTGAATGGTTTAGGGAGGGAATCCCAGAGCTTGGGGCCCAGGTACTGAACTCAGTGATGGGCAAATTAAAATTGGTGATCAAGGACGGGAGGCTAGAATTGTAGGAATATAGATAACTCGGAGGGTGGAGGTTTCAGAGAAAGGGAGGAATGAGGCATGGAGGGACTTGAACGTTAAAAGTGGCGGTTCTTCCTGCTCAGAGTCAGTGTCAGTTAGCGAGAACAAGGTGTGATGAAGTGATGGGACTTACCGTAAGGGACAACACAGAGAGCAGGGTTTTGGATGTGGTCAGGTTCACAGAGAGTGGAATGTGGGAGACCAGCCAGGTGTGTGTTTGGGTGGTCAACTCCCAGGACCACTAAAAGCAGGAATGAGGAGCAGAGACTGGGGTGAAGTCGGGCAATGTGACTGAACTGTAAGTGGACAGTGTTGACAATGGTGTGAATGTCAGGCTGGAATCTCATCTCTGAATTGAACAGTACAGTGATGGTGGGAAGCAGACCGACTTGTTGCCAGAGAGAGAGTCCTCAGGGTTAGAATTTGGAGCCGGAGCAGAAAGCAGAAATCATGTTGTTATCTAATGTTGGAGGAAATCTCTGCTCATTCAGAGTTGGTTGTCAAATAGTCAGACTGGCTTTATAGAGAGTACGGGAAACACTTGCCAGGGCATGAGAGAATAGGCGGAGGACTCTAATTGGCTAGGTCTTTCAAAGAGCCAGCACACATTAAGAAGGGCCAAACAATTTCTGTCTGTGCTCTGAGGGTTTCTGAAATTCCAAGAGAGTGCCTTGACACCGATTAGCTTGTCATTACCAGATTCTCTTTCATAATTAAGGCGTTACATAGATTCCGATCCCAATTGGCCTCTGAGTAACTGGCCTCTGAGTAACTGCCCTCCGAGTAACTGGCCTCCGAGTAACTGCCCTCCGAGTAACTGCCCTCCGAGTAACTGGCCTCCGAGTAACTGGCCTCTGAGTAACTGGCCTCTGAGGAGCAGGTGTTTACACAGCAGCTGAACAGAGTTATAGTCAGCACAGTGGATGTGCTGCAGAAGTCGAGTCAGGTGCCTGTATGTCAATGAAATGTCATTGCGTTACCTGATTGGAGCAGGACTTTCTTCAAACTGAGATATTGGCCCACTCTGAATTGAATTGATGTTCTGTTAATGTACTACCCAAGACCACTTTGGACTGTAACCAGCTGTGTGTTTGATTTTACACCCTTAAGTGATGATCTTGTTCCACTGCTGCAAGAGTGATTTGTTTCCTAGCTGTTCAACTAGCATGTGCATCACCCACTCCCATTTTCAGCAGGGATGCAATGGCCTAGTGGTGTTATCACTGGACTATTAATCCAGAAGCCCAGCAAATTTCTGGGGACCTGTGTTCAAATCCTGCAGATGGTGGGATTTGAATTCGATAATAACCTGGAAATGAGAATCTAATGATGACCATGAAACCATTGCCGATTGTCAGGAAAGACCCAGCTGATTCACTAATGTCCTTTAGGGAAGGAAACTGCCATCCTTACCTGGTCCGGCCGTGACTCCAGACCCATAGCAATGTGGTTTGTTCATAGCTGCCCTGTGGGATGAGCAATAAATGGTGACCTGGCCAGTAATGCCCACATCCTATGAATGGATCAAAACAAAATGTTGAAATTTCCCAGGTGGGGAAGCATTGGGATGATTTGTTTAAGTTGTTGTTTTCCTCCCAGTATGTCATTACCTTGAAACTTCAAAGAAAGAAGTGCTTGCATTTATATAGCACCTTTCATGAGTGCAGGAATGAGCTCTCCCAGTATCCTGAGCAATATTCATGCCTTGGCAATGTCATGGAAAAAGCAGATCTGATCTTTCATCACATTGGGGTTTGTGGGATCTTTCTGTTCTCCATGCAAAGTACTGCAGGACACTCTGAGGGTGTAAACAGCGTGATCTGAATAAAGAGATAGTAGGAACTGCAGATGCTGGAGAATCTGAGATAACAAGGTGTAGAGCTGGATGAACACAGCAGGCCAAGCAGCATCAGAGGAGCAGCCCGGTCACTTAGATGGTAAACGATGTGATATTCTGTACATGCGAATAGCAGAGAGAAATGATTCTGTCACCTGCAAAACCAGATTAGGAAGGGAGAGACAGAGAAGAGGACAGAGAGTAATGGACGGAGAGAAAATGTTGAGAGACAAGCAGAGACAAAGAATCTAATAATCAGACTGCATCAGATAGGAACATGAAGAAAGAATGCAGAGAAGTGAGAAATAGATGGATTGACAAAGTGACATAACTGCAGTCAGAAAGACAAAGAGAGAAAGAAAATGACAGAAATGGACCAAGTCTCAGGGAGACAAAGAGAAGGAATGCAGTCAAAAAGAACACAAGAGAGACGAGGACAAAACGTGAGAGACCAAGAAGAGGAGCAAGAGATGGGGCAGCTGTGCAGGAGAAACAGCGACAAAGAACAAGAAAAACGGTCAGCCAGATAAAGGGAGAAAAAGAGAGGCAGAACGAGAAAGAGAGAGAGCAAAGGATATAGATGGAGATCGTCAGTGAGAGATGTGGAAACAAGACAGAGACACAAAAAACAAGACAGCAGGACAGGAAAATAATGCAAGGCAGAAGCTGTTCATTTATGAGTAATTAATTAAAATACTTGATTCCAATTACATTCATTTGCATAATTAAATTAAGCTTGGTCTGAGTCTTTGTATCCAGCACCCTGCGGTTGTCAGAAACATCGCGGGCTAAAAATTCAGTGACGCTTGCTGTTTTGCCATGAATTATAGCAATGGAAAAGTCTCAGTATTTAATCTGGCAGCAGTCTGCTCCCTCTGGTGAGCAGACGAAACCAAAGTACACCAGCAGCTCCCCATCGAAATGTGATGTGAATTTGTGTGTCTCACAGAATGACACAGTACAGAAGGAGGCCATTCAGCCCATGATGACTGTACCAGCGCTCCGCAAGGGGAACTATAGCCAGTGCCACACCCCTCGCAAATTCCTCACAGCCCTGTGGTATTTTAAATTGTCTCCAGGTTATTCTCCTGTAGTAAACCACCATCAAATCCTTGGGTGATGAATTCCAGATCCTTTGTTCTCAATCTTCCCTCATGTCATCTCTGGCTCTTATGCTGACTACTGTAAATCAATGTCCTTTCGCTCTCAAATCTTCCAGCAATGGCAGCATTTTGTCTCTATCTACTTTGCACAGACCAGTCATGGTTTTCAACATTCCTAATGGACTGAGAACCATACATCACAGATTTGAAACATTTTGCAAAAAAGCAAATGCAAGGTGAGAAGAAACTTTCTCACATAGCAAGTAGCTAGGGTCTGGAATGCACTGCCTGGAAATGTGATGGAGGTGGGTTCCATTGAGACATTCGAGAGGGGCATCGGATGGATAATTAGACATGCAGTAGTGTGCAAGGGTTTGGGGGAAGGTGGAAGATGTCACCAAGTTAAAATGCTCAATGAGCT